CCCCCCCCTGTCCGCATCCCCCCACGGCGGCAGGAAGGTAAAGCCTCTCCTGGCTCAGGCTTCCCCGCTGTGCTGGATGGGGCCAGCGCCTTTGGGGTCCTAGCACTCAAGGCAGGGGAGTCCCTCCAGGCACCCCGACTCTGAACAGCAGTCCCCAGGGGAGAAGCCAGCTGCAGCAACCTGCTCTGCTAGCCTGCCCCCACCAGCTTTTGCTAGGAAAGCTGCAAAACAGAGGTAGCTCTCCCAAGATGTACATGCACCAGGGGGACCTGCTGCTTCAGCCAATGCAGAGACAAGCAGTGGGTTGCTCCAAGGGCCCAAGGAAGCTCCACATGCAGCAGGGGAGCAGGACATCCCTACCCATTGCAGTCTCCTCTCTCTTCATCAGGCACATGCTCCAAGGGGAGAGCACAGCCCCAATATTTTACTTTTCTCTTAGGAAAAAAACCCAAACACATCACCACAACAAACTATCTTACTTGGATGAATGGGACAGGCAAACCTGGCATAAACCAGGTTTCTGCAATGTTGTTAGCATGCAGAGAGCATGCAACTTCTTTGCTAAGAAAGGATCTCCACTAGGACACAGTAAAAAAATCCCTCACAAGCAAAGCATATGAACGACTCAGTCTTTGCCAAAGCCTATTCCACAGGGAGCAGCTGCTGCTGAAGGTATCGGTGAGCAGATGCTGAAAGCAGCCACAGATACCAGCCCAGCTTCACCGTAACAGAATTATTCTTTGTTCTGAGATAATCGAAAATGAGGGAGCCAAGTTACTCTGCAGTGAAACAGCTACCACTAGAAGCACAACCCTATCTACAACATGCATTCAAAGATCAAGCATAAACATCTAAAACATAGATGTAGCACATCCAATACAAGACCATTCATTGTAACCGGGATCCTACCTTGCTGCTGGGCACGAGTTCTGCCGAGGTAGCTTCAGTGGTTAGTCTCCATTCTGTGCTGGAGCCTTTATCCAGCAGCCTTCCCACCAAACACATGCCTTGTCTTGGTGGTGTTGTGTTTAACTCCTTTCTCTGCTATGGCTCTTCCCCCTAAGGGAAGAAAGAGAGGCCTGGGCTTCTCTCTAATATCCTCTCCTCCACTGAGCCTGACTCACAGCTGAGTCCAACTCCTCTCCCTGATAACCTAAGCCAGATGGTAACACAATCCTCTCCTACCCCTTGATGAAGGAGCTCAGCTCTTTACACACCTGGTCCTTCCCCTGCACCCCTTGTTGAGCTCAAGCACAGGTGGGAACATGGCAAAGCCAGAACAAGCATCGCTCATAAAGATGCAGCTTTGCCTGGAGAAGAAATTGAAGGAAGATCCAGCTTTCTTTTCACTTGGGTGATGTGTCTATGGAGGGAAAGAAAATTCTCCCTTCTCTGCAGCTGAAGCCAAAAGCAACATGAGCTGCTCCTTCCCTTTTAACCTGCTCTAATAGCTGTGCTTTGCCTTGAGCAGTTTCTGTGCAGCTTTGGTTGTTCTCTGTGTTGCTATGATGCTTGTGAAGATCCTCTACTTCTCCCACGCAGAAGGTGAGATTTGGTTGGGGTGGGGGGGTGTACAAGGCTGTCTGCTGCTGACTGTTGCAGTATTCAGCTGATGACAGATACGCCCAAATATACAGAGCAGAAGGGCAACTCCAGCACATGGTTCTCATGATCTCCTGTTGGAGCCAGTGGGGAAAAGTCAAGACCTAGTTTAGCTACAGATTTTTCAGCCTGAGGTTTTCCATGCAGTCATTTTAATTAACATTATGCCACACCAGTCTGATTTCTGAGCAGGATAGACTCAGTCAGTACCCACATGAGGCAAACGTTGCGTGCAAATGTGTGTCCAGTGGCTCTGCAGGTTGGCCAGTTGGTTCAAGTTTCTCCTTCCCAATCCTGTAGGAAGAAGATGGTGGGGTCTGTTTCTGCAGTCAGAGGTATTGCACCGTCTAGGATCCAGACCAGATGGCAAACCACACACCAGCTCTGAGCTGAGAGCACTTTGTACAATGGCACCACATAACTGACACAACCTCAGGAAAGCCTTAAAATCTGCACACCAGAGGTGGCCAACAGTAAATAATGAAGTTAGCAAGTTGGCAGCAGAAAGCTCTGGGAGACATCCCCTGCTTTCCAAATGCCACCTGCCTTACTGATGCAGCTGAGCCAGTACAGCCTCCCACATTCCGCTCCCTCCCCATAAGGCCAGGCAACGGACATCATGTTCTCTGGTCCTGCACAAATATAGCGGGTGTCCTACAGACCTTCCCCAGGACCTCTCTTTCGTAAATCCCCAGTACCTCCCTAGCTGTATCTCCTCGCTACTGCAACCCAAGCAGGTGTTTTTTAGCAGGGTCCTGCATGTTCTAAAGACCTGTTAGGCAAGTAATTTTGTCACTGGGTACTTCCCAATCTGCAGATTTAGCAAGCACACATTCTCCTCCATCACCGAGGTCATTAATGGAAATGCTGAGCAAAACCAGATCTGGAACAGATGTCCCTGAACCTCACACAACAGACCCCTTCCTTTTCAACAGTGAACAGTAGACGACTCTCTGGGTATAACTATCTAATGGGTTTTGTACCTACCCAACATCCCACCTACATCATCCTTAAGAGCTGCTTAAATGGCAGCTAGGGCTTTTTTTCACTGTGCCCTTACCCTGTCATAGAGGAAAATCAGATTATTTTGACCAGATTCTGTTCTTTACAGGCCCATATGGCTCCTGCTCATCTCCGCTGCTTACAAGTAGTGAGATTATTTGTTCCAGCATTTTTTGGGGGGTGGGTGGGTGAGGGGATTTAACCATCAGCAGTTCCTGGCTTTTGACCCCAACCCCCATTTTGAAGGGGAGGGGGGTACAAAGCTTGTATTTTACAGTCTTTCATGCCTCACTGTCCCCCCAGTAGTTCTCATAGATAACAGCAAATATTTCTGGGATTGTTTTGTGTGAAGTTCACCACACCCAGATGGTCTGAAAAATTCCTGTTCATCTAAATACTCTTGCTTGAGCTTTGCTTAGTCAAGGACAGACTTTTAGCCCCCATCGCTGGCATGGCCTCTGCTGTTTCCCCATATCTATATGTGAAGGCTAATGCAAAGCGCATCAAACAGTCGGGTCTCCTCAAGTGGCTGCCGTCAGTGCTTCCTCTCTCTGCTGAAAAGCAGCACAACGCTGTCCTTGGCTAGTCTCTTACTGTTAATGCAATGGAGCTTGTATTCTGACATCTTACATGCTAGCTTTTACCACGGTCTCTCAACAGAGCTCCAAACTGCAGACTGGTTGTGAACACCCAAACTCCTGCCGGAGACATTAAAAACGGGGCTCAGGTAGCGAGGGAGCTGTAAACGGCGGATCTAATTCCTGTCTTAATTGCCTTCCAGGACCCGGTTGCAGCCGGGCAGGGGGAAGGCTG